CGGCTTCTACTGGAGCACGGTGACGGGCGGCGAGGCCAACCTGCTGCTGAGCGCCGAGCCGGCCGGCACCTTCCTCATCAGGGACAGCTCAGACCAGCGGCACTTCTTCACCCTCAGTGTCAAGACGGAGTCAGGCACCAAGAACTTGCGCATCCAGTGCGAGGGCGGCACCTCGCAGCAGCCAGCCTGTGCCCCGCTTTGACTGTGTGCTCAAGCTGGTACATCACTACATGCCACCTGCGCCCTGCGCTGTCCCCGAGCAGCCGGGGGGGGCCCTGCACCCCAAGCGCACCTACTACATCTACTCGGGCGGCGAGAAGATCCCCCTGGTGCTGAGCCGCCCGCTCTCCTCCAGCGTCTCCACCCTGCAGCACCTCTGCCGCAAGACCGTCAACGGACACCTGGACTCCTACGAGAAGATGGCTCAGCTGCCGGCTCCCATCAAGGAGTTCCTGGACCAGTACGATGCCCCCCTCTAAGGGGCCAGCAGAGCAAGGTTACACGCTACAAGCACAAGAGCGGGGGACAGGCACAACGCCCCAGCGGTGTGGGGACTCACAGAGCACGCCAAGCCTCTCCCTCTGGGAAGGAGAGGAGGGGGACTGGGGCGAGCCGTGGTGGGCCTGGGGCTGTGGCCAGCACAGCCTGGCACCCTTTGTGCTGGGGGACCCCCGAGGAAGCACGACACCCCTTCTCCACGGGGAAGGAGACTGCTCCAGTTGGACTGTGGATGTTACAGTGCACCCAGCACGAAGACCTCCCTGTCGTGGCCAGGGAGAGCCTGTCGGCAAAGCACCCGTGGGCTCGGGCAGCCAGGATGGCACCCGCAGCATGGGGGGACATGTGCCCCAACAGCCGCATCCCCACCGCCACAGTGGGACCACACCTGAGGGCATCCTGGCAAGAACCCCCTTCTGCCACCAGAGAAGAGAAAGCACTGGAGTCCAGCTAGTGCCTGATCGCTTTTCCTCGGTTTTAAGGGGAAAGTGTTTTTCACCTGTACTGTACTTTACCTCTTGCTGCCTCCTTTCCAAGGGTGGAAGCTCCTTTCACACCAGGCCCCAGACTTGGAGGTCGCTGCCTTTTTCCCCTCGTTGCCATTTTCAGGGGGACTAAGCCTTAATATTCTCCCTGCCCCATGGTCTGGGTTACTGCACATCGTTTGGTGACACTGCGCGATAATGGTCCCGGTGATGTGCCACGAAGCCAGAGGGGAAACAGCATGTTGTGACGCTGCTGAGAGTCCCGCGGGACTGTATCTGCAAGGAGGACCCCGAGGACCTGGTGCTGCCGCTGGACTGTTACACCTGAGTGTCGCACCCCACCTCTGCCCAGCTGCTCCCTGCAGACCCTGGCCACCCTGTTCCATGGGGACACCGATTCCCGCGGGAGCAAGGCAGGAGGATCCCCTGGAGCATGTCGTCTCGTGAGCGCTTTTCTGCGTCCGCACAGAGAAGCAGTTGGGTTTTTCTGGCTTTTTTAAAATTTTTTTTTTTTTTTTTTTTTTAACGAAAGGGATGTTTACAGGCCGACATGAATCACTGTCTTTTATAAAGATTCCATCTTCACCTCCAGCCTCGAGGGCTGAGCAAAACCATGCTTGAAAATTCAACCAAAACAAAACTCAGATGAAACTTTGCACATATTTATATTTATATTCAGAAAGGAAATGTTTCCATAATTTATAATAAAGAGCACTATTTTTTAATGAAAAAACCCAAAGCTGGTTTGGTTCCTCCCTGCACCCTGAGGCTGCTCAGGCCCCCCGGTGTGACG